CCCCAAAACCCCAAAACCCCAAAACCCCAAAACCCCTGATTTTTAGAAATAGCTGAAGAAAATATACGGAGAAGATTTTGATCAGAAGAGAAGATTAATCCTCAGGAGATGGGTCATCTTTCTTTTTAGCAACGCCTTTCTTCTTTTTATGATGTTGGTCAAAGTTGTCATAAGTCTTTTGAACCCAAACTCTACTCCTTTTGTCTGCTTGCCTGATTGGCTCTGGGATTCTGTATTTAGTTATGCAAGCTCTGACAACAGCAATGGCTGTATCTAGGCAAATTCTATGCCCAACTGAGATAATTATAGGGTTCTTGCTTTCATCAGTCTAAAAAATTAATGGAAATAGTTACAGATCTGAGAGCTGCTCCCCAATGCTTCCCACTCTTTCCAGTGAGATACTCGAGATCCCCTCCTTTGAGAAGCTTTTCTTGGCTCATTTCCTTGACTCCTTTCTGAGTAATTCCGTCAACTGCGAATACAGTTTTGCCAACTCCAATGGAAGGGATGTCCATGACAACCCCAATGTGGCTGGCGGCTCCAAATCCTCTATTATGTAGAATTCCTAGAGTTGTTTGTCGAATGCTTACCATTTCCATCTACAAGAAGGACTTGGGGCCAGAACTCAGGAGATTTCTCCTTAAGTCTATTGAATAAAATTGTCAAAGAGGGAATCTCTTTGAAAGCCAAAAATCCTGGGATGTAAGGATATTCAGTGGTATCTATCTCATAATCCTCATATAGCACATCAAATGATGGATATGAGAGGACTACAAGGGCTGCACATGCTTTTTGGCTATCCGTTTTGGAGTAGCTATAGTATAATGCAAAGTTGGTACCTAATATCAACTGCTCCAATGAATTCTAATGGCTCAAGTCCTTCATTTTCTTTCTCCTCATTATAAGGGCCATCATCTTTATGAGGAATGTACCATTCGAATTTATCTTCCTCGATAAGGCTTTCTTTAAGCTGATTTTGTTCCTCAGCCCACTGTTCACGGATGCTTTCATCAACTTGCTCTTGAAGCTTATTAAATTTACTTTGCTTAGTCTCTTTCTTCTCTTCTTCAGGATGATTTTCTTGATCCATATCTATATAAAGCTTGTTTATCACCCTCCGAAAAATTTGGCTGGTATAACATGGAACCTGAAAGGACCAAAATGCCTTGAAAACCGAGGGGAAAGGTGCTTAGACTTCTTAAGAAAGTGACGAAGACCCTTCCTGATTCACAAAGACATTTACCTACGTAGTTTTTAAATAGCCACTAAATTTCAATATTTTATAGTGGTTCAGGGGTTTTGGGGTTTTGGGGTTTTGGGG